AATTATATAGACATTGGTACTTTATAGTACTATTGATGCTTAATAACGATCCTATACTTTAATTCAGCATGACACGGATACTCTATAAACATATACCCAAAAAAGGGGTGCTTAATTTCGGAACGGTACGGTACTATTATTAAATTACTAACAATACAATAAGTTCTATGTATATAATGCATCTAATCAGAGTACTATATTGCCAGATAACAGAATTTAGACAAGCTTAGATTTTTTACCCAGGGTATAACTTCGAATTTCTCACAAAATATGTTTCACGAGAATATAGATATATCCAAAATTGACAGCAATTAATTAAATTGATGATAAAGTAAAATATTTTATATTGGATATTTATTAGGATATTTACTAGTAGCCTGTATCTGTGTAACTCACCAATCACAATGCAGAAAGCAGACACACACGCCATTTAGTAATAATATAGATATAGATAATTGTCATTGTGTAATATATAGAAAAGGGTTTAATTTGTACAGAAAATGACAAAATAACCAATTTCATTACAAAAAAGACAAAGTAAAAATAAGAAATAATGATCGGGTAAAAATAATGCGAGTTTATTTTACTTATAGTAAGTAACAGTAGAACATCTTTCAACAATCAATCTATTAAAAAAAATATAGAATAACTTCATAAGAAACATTTATAAATACTATATATCTAAATAATTTAACAAGAAATTAAACCTACTTTGCAAATTCTTGTTTCTCCAAACACCCAGCACTAGAAATTCCACGATCATTTAAAATAGTCTTCAGGTCTTTAACTGGTTTTTGCATAAGTTCATCAAAAGATTCAGTAATAGGTGGAAGAGCAACCTTTTCAACCACTGACTCTACCTGAGAAACGGCATTCTGCAATTCGGTCGCAAAATCTTCAGCCATTGGATGCCCTTGCCAAACTATTTTATTGTTAACCAAGATGTAAGCTGTTGGAATTCCGCGAGCATTGCTTGGTGTGAAAATTGCTTTTTTTTTTTAATGAATTAGTGACACAATTTGATCAAACAATAAACAGTTTAACCTCTCCAAATGCACCCTTTATAAATGTATGAAATAGTCTCAGGTATATATCTGATTTATAAATTTTCTATATAAAAATACGGGTGGATCTCATTTCCTCGATAGCCACTTTACCTACAGCCATTTAAACGACATTACATAGGGTGAGGGATAGCATTTTAGTTGCAGATATATATTAATAGTAAATTGTCACCCGTGATAGCGGTTAAATGGCTTTTAGATTAAATGACTGTCAGCAAAATGGGATGTTTCCTAAAAAAAAAATACATGTCCTCTCTAAAGGCGTGTTTTGTAAGATTCGATTATATAATCCTGAGAATATGCATTTTTGAGCGGTTAAAATATAAAATATAAAAAATAACAACTTATGTACAAAAAAATTTACAGAATCGCACTATTAAGTGCTAAGTATTCAGGTAGTGGTGGTGGCAAAAAAAGTCGCGACCATGTGATCGATGACATTTTTGAACCCTTCGGAAG